TTATATGAAAGTCAGTCTGCTCTGGAGTTAAAACCGCAGGTGGCCTCTTGAATCACTGATGTGGACATGGAATTTAAGAGGGACTATATTACTAGAGGGAGACATGATAAAAAGAAATATTTTTGTGTTTAATTTATTTCTTTTCCAGCTGCTTTTCATAAGGGGTGGTGCCTAAAAGAATTATATTGTTTTACAGACAAGTCTACCTTGAATTTTTGTCATTTTACGGGAAAATCTACATGAAATCTTGCTGAAGTAATTAATATGCTTTTGGAAAGATGTCTTTGATTGAAAATATTGAAGTGACCTTGACAACCTTTTTTCATTATTTGATTTTCCCTCTTGGAATATTGACCAGGAAAATCAGCAAAATAGAATATGATTTTGCCGTATTAAATATGATTTTAAGCTGAAGATTACAGAATTATGCTGATAAAGTAGACTATTACGTAAAAGATATAAAAATCAATTTGTTAAAAAATCAGCAAACCTTTAGTAGTTTACTTGTTGCTTTGCATGTAATTTGCTTTGAGATGAACATGATGTCCTGTCCGGAAGTATGCTGTGGGATGCTCCTAATTAAAATGTATTGCATCAAAAACTATTCCGTAGTTTTAATTTCTATCAAATAACTATAGAGTGAGTATGTGAAAATATGTAAACAGTATTCCACATGTAAAGTACTGTATACTACTCAACATGATGTCGCCCTCAATGGCAGCTGGCAATAGAAATTTGAAACAAAAGAGACACACTAACCTAACTTTGCCCCTTTGCTAGGGTCATTACTGACACATACATAAGATGAATGAAAGTAATCCCTGTTATTGAGATATAACTGAGAGGGCATAAATAGGGTAGGCACCTCTGCCTTAAGAATCGAAGTCCGACTAAAACCCAACCTTGTCTACTGTTTATTTGTTTTGATTGTTTGTTGTTTAATGCCACACTCAGCAATATTCCAGCTATATGACGGCAGTCTGTAAATAATCGAGCCTGGACCAGACAATCCAGTGATTGACATCATGAGCATCGATCCACGCAATTGGGATACGATGACATGCATCAACCAAGTCAGCGAGTCTGACCACCCGATCCCGTTAGTCGCCATTTACGACAAGCATAGTTGCCTTTTACGCCAAGCATGGGTTGCCGAAGACCTATTCTACCCCGGATCTTCACGGGTCAACCTCAAATCTCAAATAAACCAATTTGACCATAAATAGAGCACTGCAGACAGTAACAATGTTTCGTTCATTTTGTCAGGTTTTTATTGACAATGGTTACCACAAGACCAATAAAGCAGAAAACTCATGCAAAAGATATGAACTAAATGTATTCTCAAGTGTGTTTGGAGGTGTCATGATATTCGCCCTTGTTGACTGTACAAGTAAAATACTCAAGTCTAGTGTGTATTTCCAGGAATCTTTTCCTCTCTGACCCTCTTGTTAGGTTGAATGTAACTAACATTACATGTTTAAATACTAAACACGTTTCAAGATAAGAGTTGAGATATTATTTCTGCATTTGTCATATCAGGAAACCAAATGGGGTAAGATGGGAGCATCCAAATTAAGGATAGTTTTCTACAACTGTTAAACTGATACAGGGTTTTATGGTGTATTGGAAGTATTTTGAGCTCGAACACTGTATTTTTGTTCCTATAAAAGGTTGCTGTAAACATATTGGTTGTAAATCTGTTAACTGGATTAATGTTTACTACATAAACACAACCCGAAGGCTCACACTGGCTATATCACAACTCATGTTCAGCACTCAGTATCTGTAAACTGTCTACCCACATCGGTGGTGATTATCAAAATAACTTGGATGTGGTATGTTATCTGATGACCATGTTAATTTTAGAAGACAGTTTCCAAGGAATACAAGCTTCGTTTTTATTGTACTATTTCTCATGAATTGTTTTATTAATACATTCATATTCTTACATGTTTTTGTAACATTATTTATTTCATAGCAATATTGAAAATGCTCTTAAAGTTTCACAAATGCTTTCAAGGAAAGACATTTTGTTTCACTGTATACATTTTAGTGTTTTATGTATTGATAATGTATTGAGAATTAATTGCTGATATGTAAATGTGTCAATGGGGTATTGATTTATGCCCACTCTGGTTGTACATACTGAAGTTGTATGTGCTCCGATACAAGAAGGAATGGTTATATAGATATTCTGCCCTGACTACTGGTACAAGAAGGAATGGTTATATAGATATTCTGCCCTGACTACTGGTACAAGAATGAATGGTTATATGGATATTCTGCCCTGACTACTGGTACAAGAAGGAATGGTTATATAGATATTCTGCCCTGACTACTGGTACAAGAATGAATGGTTATATGGATATTCTGCCCTGACTACTGGTACAAGAAGGAATGGTTATATGGATATTCTGCCCTGACTTCTGGTTCAAGAAAGAATGGTTATATGGATATTCTGCCCTGACTACTGGAACAAGAAGGAATGGTTATATGGATATTCTGCCCTGACTTCTGGTTCAAGAAAGAATGGTTATATAGATATTCTGCCCTGACTACTTGTACAAGAAGGAATGGTTATAAAGATCTTCTGCCCTGACTTCTGGTTCAAGAAGGAATGGTTATATAGATATTCTGCCCTGACTACTTGTACAAGAAGGAATGGTTATAAAGATCCTCTGCCCTGACTTCTGGTTCAAGAAGGAATGGTTATATAGATATTCTGCCCTGACTTCTGGTTCAAGAAGGAATGGTTATATAGATATTCTGCCCTGACTACTGGTATAAGAAGGAATGGTTATATAGATATTCTGCCCTTACTACTGGTACAAGAAGGAATGGTTATATAGATATTCTGCCCTGACTACTGGTATAAGAAGGAATGGTTATATAGATATTCTGCCCTGACTACTGGTATAAGAAGGAATGGTTATAAAGATATTCTGCCCTTACTACTGGTATAAGAAGAAATGGTTATAAAGATATTCTGCCCTGACAACTGGTATAAGAAGGAATGGTTATAAAGATATTCTGCCCTTACTACTGGTATAAGAAGAAATGGTTATAAAGATATTCTGCCCTGACTACTGGTATAAGAAGAAATGGTTATATAGATATTCTGCCCTTACTACTGGTATAAGAAGAAATGGTTATATAGATAATCTGGTTACCACCCTGTTTTACTTGGAGTTGGTTATCACCCTGTTTTACTTGGAGTTGGTTATCACCCTGTTTTGCACTCTATAGTAACCAGGAACTGTAGTGAATGCCTTCAGGAAAGCATGTCACGATGTGTTGGCCCGCTGTGATGACGTCAAGGCATTTCAATAAGTAGTCAGTGACATTTACTTTATCCAAAAGTGCTGCTAATCCAGTCTTAAAATAATCAACAAGAATCAAAGTAGGTCTGTTCTCTAGAATGTTATGGGAAAATTGGATGTTCATCAAGGATGGAAAATCAATGGAGAAAGTTGGGATAGAACAGAAATACTCATATGCTAATTTGTTCTTAATCTGTTCCAGAAACTTGTGGAGGTGGGGGTGAAGGTTTAGGAGGTGACTGGGTGGGTGGGGTGGGGGGAGGAGTTTCATTGGAATACTGTGTCATAAGGAATTTTTTCACTTTTCATATTTTTTATCTTGACTAATGATTATTTATTGGTAAGTCTTTTATCTGAATGTTAATTTTAGTGTCTCAGGTGCTTAATTTTTATAGTAGTGATGATAGACAGTCTGAAACTAAACATTCTGTGGTGGATCAAATGATAGTACTAATGGTTTCACAGAAATCAAGCCATGTCAATAAAGTCTTTACAGGAATCAATTAATAAAAGTATTAAACATATCATGTATGATAATGGTATTGATGAAGATTTAAATTTTTCGTCAGATTTTATTCTTGCATCCAAACTGGCTGTGTCCGTATACCTTGTTTATGTTGTGTGGGGTTGTGGGCGGAGAATGGGGAGGTTGTGGGCGGAGAATGGGGAGGTTGTGGGTGCAGGTAAAGGCATGGCGCGGTTGTACAGGGTCATCTGTAGGAGACTCGCTCACCCACACCTTGCGGGGTCAGATTTCTGACATCGATGACGACAATGCAGTTCTATTCCCCAATACTGACGTACCTGGCTGGCGATTAGATAACATGGCATACTTTCCGAAAAGGTCATATCTGAGAGAATAGATCACAAAAATGTGACCTTTTATGTATCTTGGAAGGAAAACTAGGCGTTTCTATGGCAACTCTTTGTAGTTTCCCTGCAGTAGATTTGGTGTAATTGAAGTCTTTAGTCTGTGTGCAGATGTGCCTACCTTAGCTAGCGGAAGGTTTCGCTGTGTTGTTTATTGGCATGAGGCTATGAGGAAAGCAATATTGTGGTGTTGTTCAATATGAAGATGGCCGGTTCTGTAATTACTTAGTGATCTTGAAACAGTTGACTTCTTAATGAAGGACGGGAAGACGAAACGATCTCTTCGACATAGCCTACACAAGCTGAGAGCTTTTCTGTCGTTTCGTGAAGGGAGGGGCACTGCTAGAGTGAAGTGTGACACAAGCCTTGGTCGTCCATCTTTGTCACAGGGCTCCAGCATTAAGAGGGTTAATTTTAAAGGAATAACAGACACAGACAGGACATGTGAAGGTCAAGAGTTAACCCTTTGTGTGTCGAATGGAGGCTATTTACAAACATTTCTGACAATCAGCCCAAAGGATCAGTATATGTTTATTGAAGATTTAACTTGATATCTCATTACCAAATATTTTTGGTCTGTAACTCTGTTGATTTAGGGATATGAGGAAGTAAAAAAAAATTGAAAGCAGTTATCATGACATTGAGTTGTTTTGGATACTTATGTGGTTATTTTACATGACAAATACACTTTTTGTTTTTAAGGTTTAGTTAGACAAATCTAAATTTCAGCTTGAATGGATTTCTTTTTGTGTGGATGTGTGATGAAAATGTCTCTATAATGCATTTCTAACTCTTGCTCGTATTTTGCAGGTACAGATATAGTAAAGAAGCAACTAGAAGAAAACAACCACGAGTACGACTATAGCCACGTCAAACCTTTACAAAATCATGCTCCCTATCGCTCCAAGTCCATGCAAGCTCCAAGGCTTGACATGCAGGACGGAGGTGGCATGTTGCCCGGTGGCTTGCCAGATATGGACTACCAAAAAAGAACAAATAATCCCGCTAGCTATCTCAACGCGGGGTATCCCAACAACCCTGGCAACCAACAGGAAGTGATGCAAGCGCTCAACGTCAACCCTCATAGTCGAAGTCCGTCACTGAAAGTTCGCAGGTATAGTTTTCTGGCAGGCTCCAGAAGAGGCCGAGGTTTCAGTGAGATATTTAATTCAACCATATTGAATGATCATTTTGACCAGTACACTGCACCACACGAGGACAGTGGCTTCGGACGCGAGATCTATGTGGCTGGCGATGACCGGCAGCGAAACACATCGCACACTAGTGACACGTCCCCCGACTCCGGGGTGTCGGATACAATGGAGGAGGATAACAAAAACCGTCCATTGCAACGGCGTAGAACTCTCCCGTGCATTGTAAATCAGCCAGACAACAATGCGAAAAAAGCAATTGTAGAGAAGGAAACAGCCCACAGTAGTGAAAATCTGACTGGGAAAACTGCAGAGACATATATTATTGAAAACGGAATCAGGAAGCGTGTGCGTGCCGAAGTTCACAAAAACCCTGCGGACGACAAGGGGGAGCAACTACTGAAGCAGTATAAGATCGAAAGCCAAAAGAAACTGTCTGAATCGGGCAAACACGGAAGTCTTCCGGACCTCAAACATGTAGTGAATACAGCCAAGCCAATCACACGTGTAGAGGCATACCGACTTGCTACAGCACGCCGGGAAGAGTTGAGACGACTACAAGACCTTGCAGAACGGCGACGACAGGGCGACGTGGCAGTTATACTCGGAGATGTGAAGGTATGTGTTGTTCTCATGGCAATTAAAATGTAAACAGTGTTCAAACATATAGGTATTGACTCTCTTTCGTTGACATGACTATGTAGTACAAACTGTTTTAAGAATCTTAGGTGCATGTATTTTGATTTCATACATACTATTCAAAAGATAAATTACAGTAAAATGAAAGAATCCTGTGTTCTTTAACTTCTTTTGAGTAGTATGTTATGTAAAGAACTTACTTGTGGAGACTAAAAAACTATATAAATTGCTGTTATGTTGGTACTTGATTGGCCATGGTAGCCTTGACCTTCATAGTTGTCCTTGAACCAGCATTTACATGTAACCTTGACCTGTCTGTTTTTCAGGACTGGTGTCAGCAGAGACAGCTGCTAGTGTTGGTGATTGCGCTCAACCTCAGTCTGGCCACCATGTTCTTCAACTTACTCTCCTGAACCCACGTGCACATGCGGCCGATGCCCGCAGGTTAACGTTTTATCTTCGCCATCGCACGTTTTGTGTGGTTCCCCCAAAGCCCTGCACCCAGCATAGGGCGGGACCCAGCCAGAGCCATCTGGACTGAGGATGCTTTTGACCCGAGTCGGCAAACTCAACTGTTGAGTCGGCCTTTGGACTGAGATTGTGCTGCAAGTTTAATTGCAGAGGAGAGAGAAAACCTACTATTCCCCAAAGAAAACATTAGGAGTTGTTTCTGGCTTTTGTAATTCTGCAATTAGAGATATTGCAAATCGGTCATGTTCATGATTGAACACGTTTGGTGAAAGAAAGGAGGTGTTTGTTTTTAAATCATTAAAATGGCACTCAGATTATGCACTGTATTTTTCTACAGTGACATGTCCGCAGTGACTATTGCGGTTGTCTTTGTCGAGTGCCTAATTAACATTGTTCATGATCCCAATTATTTGAGTGACCTTGACATTTAACCCTGACCTTGCCGATGCCACTGAGTGACCTTCACCTCAGAGACCCCTCAGATCATGTGATGAATGATGAGTACGACATCCCATTTCCATCTGTCTCATAATTGGACAGTCCAAGGGAGATAATTGATGAAAGTCGACACAGATTGACCAGTAAGATGTTGTTGAAGGATGTCATGCGATGAAATCTCAAAAAAACACTGTAACAACACCCAGATTCCTTACTTCTGTGATAATACAATGAGCTCTGGGCCAATTGTATGATATTTATCCCATGTAAATCTATCAGAGTGTACAAAGTCCTTGTGATCAAAGGGAGGCAACTCAGAGTTTTTAGATCTTCTAGTGACTGAGTTGAGTTTGAATCTAGGTCATTGGGAGATAGCCAGCCTTCCCACTCGAATCATCAACTGTGAATACCATTATTTAAAACCTAATTTAATTCTCAATTGTGCAATTAGATGAAAATAATAATTTGGAACTTAATTTATTTTTTAAGTTCATTTCTATTCCATTGTGTGGTTTGATCTTTTTTCATAGTTATTCCAAGAAAGTAGGTCATTTTGACCTATTTTGACCTATTTTTCTGTGGTGCAACCACTACTATGAAAACTGAGATTGTGGGTGACTGGGACTATTTCTCTTCTGGGTGCAATGGTTGCCTCCGTGGAAGCATCTCCGGCGGCAGTGGCAGTGTCTGCTGCGCCAGCTGCTCCTGGTTGATATCGGAAAAGCAATAGCGACTGTTTGAAAGCGTGTTCTCAGGCAGCTCTTGGGCCTGTTTCCGGGAGTGCGGACGATTGTACCTTGTATTATAATATATCATACCTCATGTCCCCACTCCACTGCTCCCAAGCATGATTCCTTTGCTTGAGACTACCAGGTTACATTGTGAGGGACTGTTGAAACTGTCAATAAATTATAGTGCAAAACTGATTCATAGCGAGTGATAGTTATATCTCATTTTGGCAGCAGTAACACTGGCACAACAGTTGCAATAAGTCTGTAGGGAAACAGTATCAACTTCAAGCCAGTTGCAATGAATGGCCTGTTGGATGCACGATACATGCAGAGGTAGTTTGATGGAAAACAGGTTCTACGTATTGCTGCAAAAATGATTGATGTGTACTGAAGAATGATGCTTGATACTGTGTCTGGCTGGTATTAATGTGATGTAATTTCATGTTATCAGAAATACGTTTAGAGGAAACAGGTGCTCACCATCTAAAACAAATAAAACAGTGGGTAATCACTTGTACATTATCCCAGCATTGCAATCAGCTGAATATCACCAATTAAATGATGAATAACTCACTTCAAGTCATTCATTACGGAAATTTTGAAGTTCACCTGTTGTCAAATCTCACTTTCTCCAGTTTCAAGACCTCCTGTTTGTATTAGTTGTTGCAATGTATATATTATCTATTGATTTCTTGAGTTTGGAAAACACAAAAATGACATGTATGAGTGACAAGTTGGATAGTTGACCATTTTGTTGCCACACTTCCCCTAGCGTCATGAGAGTGAGATAGAGTGATCAAAGTATTTGTGTTCTTGTATGTATAATAAATAACCAGCTCCTTGTAATGAAACAAGATAGATATTGTTTAGTCACTAAACCCATGAAATATAGTCAGATACTATCCAGGATGCATTCCGCAAACATACCCGACATTTAATCATCACCAATTTGCTGAATAACTGTTATATTTGCCTTAATGTAATAATGTTAATTAATGTATATTAGTGTCAATGTTTACTGTTCCACATGTTCATTGAACTACAAAATCAGCCAGCACTCAGCCTTACCAACAATAGTTATAGGAAGGGGAGGTAACTCTCATTTCCAAGGAAGGGGAGATAACTGATGCTGTTTGTTCAGTGTTACTGCTATCCACCATTCATCTTCTAAGGTTTCATATTTTCTGATGTTATTTACCTCCGTAGGTCCTGAACAAATTACAATGATTCCTGTCATAATACGACCAAGAGCCTGGAGATTGTTAAGGCTGCGATGGCTGTTGCTGGGATCACCTAATGATTGCAGTGTAGATAAGACAAGCCCTCACCATTGTGCCCAGTGAATGTATTTTCTTTTAGATACCCTTTTTTATAAGAAATATTGCAAGTGACTTTCAAACCATGGTTTAAGTTTTTTGCACAGACCCTCTTAGTATCTCAGATGTGTCCCTGTCCCTTTAATGTAGAAAGCAAAGTGGTCTCAACCTGCCCAGTATGCAGTATATTTTAAAGGGGAGTTTCTGCCCCCAATCAAAGAACACTGCTTATACTTGGTAGGGAGATCCTGTTGTTGGCCTGCCTCAGTCATACACGTGGCAGTGTGGTCAATTTGTTCTCCCGATCTCAGATTTGAGTCTCCACTTTGCTAGTTTTGTTTCTCCATCTTATTTCTTTCTTGCTTGCTTGTGTTGCTGTCTCCAAAACACCTCTGTATTTCATTTTGAAACAATAACTTTGCCTTGAATTTCAGTTTTCATAATAAAAATCCATTTTGTAGACAAGTGTACATGTTTTTGTGATTTTGATTTCCATTACTGTGGCATTGTGTTCATCTTTCATGTGTTACTGTGAGTCTGGTTGTATTTGGTTACGTTGCAAAACAACACCTGGTGTCGGGGAACCAAGGTAGAGCATGATGCACTGGTACTTTTAGCACCTGGTGTCAACCCGCAGTCTGGTTCACATCTTGTAACGGTCTCTACAACCTCCAGTGTGTTATGTCTCCATTGCATACAGAACAAAAAATGGTCAGGGATCTTGAATATTTTGGGGGATATGTTTCTGTGCCAGTTTTCACTTCCATAAAATATACCCAAAAATATTCATGATTCCTAATATTCTTTGTTCAGTAAATTATGATAAATACCCTGGACCCATTTGCTGGCATAGCTTTGTTTTGAGCCTGATTCCAACAGCACTAAGCTAAAATTAGCTTACCACTCACATAACTTACTCAAGCAAGACAAAGTTTGTGCCCAGTTAGAGACAGGAGCGATGGAGGTGATGACATCACTTCCGAAATGAAGCTATGGTGGTTAATGGGGCCGGAGCATGTATCGTAATGGAATAGTACCCTGAACAAGTGTATGTAAGTGGCTCCCTTGCACCACGTGGGCTACAAACACGATGCACTTTAGGAATCTACCATTTATTATTCAGGTAGGCTAGGGTACTGATTTCATAGAAACAGGGTACTATTTTGATCACTGCTTCTTAACATGCCAGTAGTTCTGTGAAAGCCAGAAACAAACAGAACATCCAGCAATTCCATCATACAATATAATTTTTGTGGGGAAAAACAAATGATATTTTTTCTACTTATTCTGAAACAAATTATTTAAAAATAAAATCCCTGAATATCAAATGGTTGGATTATGCAAAACACTGAACCAAGTATTTCTCCCCTCTCGTCCAAGTCAAATAGTCCAACCTTGGCACATGCACATACATGGTAGTTACAGAGAAGAAAACCTGGACAAAACACGCCCAGGTGGTGTAATTGAGGAAGACCAGAGGGTGACCAAACAGCTGACAGACTGTTTGTCCGATGCCTGCTGTGTCTCTCATACGAGGTCCACCAATTGTAGAACATGGGGGTCGGCTGCCTTACTTGCTGGCTGAACGTTTCATACTTAGTCGTCCATCATCTTTGGACTACAAACTATTTTTGTGAACATAAATACATCTTTCAACCAAAGTTCACTTGAAAAGGTAACAGAAATATCAGGGAGTGATTGGTATTTGTGCAACGGTGAACAGTATTTCAGCTGTATCAAAGCATGTCAGCTTCTAGGATAGACTAGCCAAGACAATCTTTACTGGTCAAAATAGTCACCGACACAGTTGTGACAACAGAGGCTCTGTAACTTAATGTGAAGAAAGCATGTTAAACAAGGTGCCAGTGATTTTATGCACAAGTCACTCTGCAGAGTTGCCTCCCTTAACAATATGAGGATCATGTCAACTCCAGATTATACTATTTGAGCCAGCAAGCCCATCTTGGTAATATTTCGACCAACCAGTCTATCTGACTTGTGCTATATTTACCAACAAAACCATCTTGCCAGTACTGTTTTGACAAACCAGCCTGTGCTATTTGACCAACAAGCCTGACTGGCTTGTACTAGGACCAACAAGACCATCTTGCCAGTACTGTTTTGACAAACCAGCCTGTGCTATTTGACCAACAAGCCTGACTGGCTTGTACTAGGACCAACAAGACCATCTTGCCAGTACTGTTTTGACAAACCAGCCTGTGCTATTTGACCAACAAGCCTGACTGGCTTGTACTAGGACCAACAAGACCATCTTGCCAGTACTATTTTGACAAACCAGCCTGTGCTATTTGACCAACAAGCCTGACTGGCTTGTACTAGGACCAACAAGACCATCTTGCCAGTACTATTTTGACAAACCAGCCTGTGCTATTTGACCAACAAGCCCATCTTGCCAGTACTATTTTTACCAACAATTCTGTCGAGCTAGTACTCGTTTGACAGCAGGCCTGAACAACTTGTATTATTTTGACCATGAAGCTCATCTTACCAGTACTATTTTGACCACGACCATTTTTTTAGTACTAGTTTGACACCAGCAAGCCATCTTGCCAGTTCTAGTTTGACCAAGGTGAGCTTGTACCTTGTGTGGTACTGCAAAACTTCATGAAACCTTGATGTAGTGAAAAGCTCATCTTACCAGTACTATTTTGACCAAAACCATTCTTTTAGTACTAGTTTGACACCAGCAAGCCATCTTGCCAGTTCTAGTTTGACCAAGGTGAGAGTGTACCTTGTGTGGTACTGCAAAACTTCATGAAACCTTGATGTACTGAAAAGCTCATCTTACCAGTACTATTTTGACCAAAACCATTCTTTTAGTACAAGTTTGACACCAGCAAGCCATCTTGCCAGTTCTAGTTTGACCAAGGTGAGAGTGTACCTTGTGTGGTACTGCAGAACTTCATGAAACCTTGATGTAGTGAAAAGCTCATCTTACCAGTACTATTTTGACCAAAACCATTCTTTTAGTACTAGTTTGACACCAGCAAGCCATCTTGCCAGTTCTAGTTTGACCAAGGTGAGCTTGTACCTTGTGTGGTACTGCAAAACTTCATGAAACCTTGATGTAGTGAAAAGCTCATCTTACCAGTACTATTTTGACCACAACCATTCTTTTAGTACTAGTTTGACACCAGCAAGCCATCTTGCCAGTTCTAGTTTGACCAAGGTGAGAGTGTACCTTGTGTGGTACTGCAAAACTTCATGAAACCTTGATGTAGTGAAAAGCTCATCTTACCAGTACTATTTTGACCACAACCATTCTTTTAGTACTAGTTTGACACCAGCAAGCCATCTTGCCAGTTCTAGTTTGACCAAGGTGAGAGTGTACCTTGTGTGGTACTGCAAAACTTCATGAAACCTTGATGTAGTGAAAAGCTCATCTTACCAGTACTATTTTGACCACAACCATTCTTTTAGTACTAGTTTGACACCAGCAAGCCATCTTGCCAGTTCTAGTTTGACCAAGGTGAGCTTGTACCTTGTGTGGTACTGCAAAACTTCATGAAACCTTGATGTACTGAAATACTCTCACACGATGCATGATCCAAGTTGCTGAACAGATTTTCTGGTGTTTTCTGTTTGAAGTTGGTGACAAAATAATCTTTGTATAAATATTTATTAGGCAGATGTTCAAATGTTAAGCAGTTTGTCTGTGCATCGTTGAATCCTTCAGCTGTCTGTGGATTCATCCATTGTATCCTTGGTTTGTCAGCATCATACCGATGATTTAGAGTTTCACTAAAGTAGCAAACATCTGACCTGACCCGCTTGGCTTTCTTTGGTTGTGTAAATACGCTGTTGTAACTGAAAGACTGTTTTAAGTGACCTTTTGCAAAACTTATTTACCTACAACTATCCTACAGAAATATAACATACCCTCGAAAACCAAAGATGAGACATCCAAGCCTGCGACAATAGGCGACTTTGGTTTCTACTGTAGTCGGCAATATTACAGCTATCAATATTAATTACATGCTGGCACAAGGGCCTGTGTACAACCTCAAGAGGCCCACTGAGGTCTCTTGAGGCTTAATAACTTGTATGATGACAGCCAAAGATGAGGACATGAAGGGATCTCGAAGCATCGTTCTCTCTTTCTCAACTCTACAACACAATCTAAGAGTCTTGAGTGTTACTGTACTTACACCAAAACAGCACAAGGATCCCTCTGAGAAAGCGTGGCTTCTTGAAACTGATATCTTAACTTCAACAGCATCAGTACAGAACAGCTACATCAGCCCTGGCTGGAACACTTCCCATCAGCCATTGATCAACCGAGAGGGAAGATAACTATTGTCTATATAAACATGGCCAGATTGATCAGGACAGACGCTGCTTCACAATCATCAGTTGCTAGCCTATGTGCAAACAAACTATACATTATGTTTTTTGAGCCGAACCTTTTTGCAGGGATTGCCAGACTTCAGCACTATGTTGTCAAGCTTTGCATTCCTCTCTCGACAACACTGAGACACTGACAGTGTAGCATGCAGCACTACATTCACTACATTAACGATAAGGCTCCTTCTCGGGATTCATGCCCTTGCCATTACACATGCTTTCACCCGAAACAGTGCATTCTATATGCAGACAAACTGTGAACTGATACAACTAGTTGACATTACACGTCCTGGGGTATACAAATAAGTTTGTCTGTTGGAATAAAAAACAACAAATAAAAATCACATATTACATGTAACTGATAACTCTATTGTAAGAAGAACACCGAAGTTCGGGCATCACTGGTTGATTTTCTTTCATTTAACATTGAAATCACCATCTAAAAATAGGCTGAAACTTGAGCATGTGCAGTTCTATGAAACACATCAGTTAATACTTGTTGAAGTCAAGTGAAGCCTGCCACACAGCCAGCCAGCGTCCCCCCATGTTCATGTTCTGGCCCCCCACAAGTTATAACTGAGGCCCTTGGACTTGAAAATAGTCTTTGACATATAAGTATGGTTTTATCCCATTTGTATTAATAGTCCTTCTGTATGGGGAACACCAAGGACGTAGGGACGGGAAACTCGGCCGGGTGGGTCCTGAGTAGGACCCATGTCACCACAGGACTACCTGGACCCATGGTTAGTTATATGACATATTGTTTACTGACAAACATTCACTACAACTCCATGGTTCCACAACAAGCAAAAATGTTAGAATTTCTTTCTGACAATGCATGCATTCCTTCTGACTTCAATATGTTGAATAAAGATAAAGCTTCAATGTATGCATGACCAGATCATTTGATAATTGTATCTAAATACATTTTTCGCCAGGGCTGCAGTACCACTTCCCAATCAGTCATTTTGTCCCCAATTCTTGAGACCTACAGTGGGTACCCGGGTTGGGTCGGGTAATAGGGGGGTGGTGTACCCAGTAGTAAATATGGACTCGTCCCAGACCTACCACATTGTACCATGTGGGGAATTGAACCCAGATCC